GACACGTCAAGTGGTCGTTATCATCACGCTGGAAATTCGAAATTTCACGAGGTTACCCCCAGTTACAACAATACCGGAAGTTCTTCAATGACTTCGTCGTCGAACCGCGCAGGATTCGCCGCGAATCATGCCGTCTCCATGGAAATGCAGTGACGGTCGTACAAAAAGTAAATATGTTCTCGAGTTGACTAGACTGTTTTAAATATGTTTTGAATTAGAGACAGTATATATACTCAACAGTTAACCTATTATGATAATACTCAGAATGGCAGTTAAATTTTGCATGCATGTAAAAGTCTTACCAAGTATTTTAGCCAAACCGCACTGCACAACCAGAAGGGTATTTTGAATGAAAGCTGAAGTTTGATGCTTAGTGTAGCGTGTACTGTAAACGTAGAACTCGTATTAATAATTAGTATAGTAAATAATGTAATGTTTCAAAGACAAAGAACATAGGATTCGTTATTCAAATGATTTCGTAACTTTTGAGGAAGGCGGGATAGGTTCATTGACTTGAAATACTCATTAATAATTCATAAACCTTGTGGCAAATCATGTCAGCCATAATATGTCACGTACGTGGAGTGACTTTATATCTGATAAAGCATGTGGCATTATATAATTCTCCATCCTAATTAGTATGATTATATAATGGTTCATCCTAATTAGTATCCTTTTGTAGTCGTCATTTAAGCTATTCTAAACACTCGTTGTCGTGTTTTATCAGACATAAAATCTGATAAAACACCCCTTTGAGTGTTTTAAATAGTACTTCAAACAATAATTCATAAGCTTATTAACAGTTAATAATTCATAAGCTTATTAGCAAATCATGTCAACCATAACATGTCACGTGAGTGGCTTTAAAACTGATAAAACACTCCTAATTAGTATTCTTTATATAAAGAATCTAATAAGGCAGTATCTATTGTTGGTCGTGTCCTCATTAGTATTTTTTATACAAAGAATACTAATAAGGCAGTAAATCTATTGAATTTGTAGTCGTGTTTGAAGCCGTTTAATAAACTCGCAGGTCGTGTTTTATAAGGTCTATAAAGCCACTCGCGCTGCGCGCTCGTGATTTTAATAGAGAATACATGGGTGCGCGGAAATACCAGATTTATTTCAAGTTAATTAAAAAGGTTACGTCTGGAATTGGAGCCGGTATGCGAAGAATCCATGATTTTGTTGACAGAGAAACTCTGTTTTCTATTTATAATGCTTTATTTAGTACGTCCTCATTTTGACTATTGTAGTGAGGTATGGGATTCTCTCAATTGGTGTGTGGGTCTCCAGCAGACTTCAAAAATTATCCCATACCTGTGTTAAAAGCGGCTTTCTGATTGGTTTAGAGCAGGTGAGCTTGTCGTCGAGCTCACCTGCTTTTTGCCGAACTCACCTGCTTTTCGCCCGAGCTCACCCGCTAAACTGCTTACGTTGCAATAACAATAACAAATATGGCGGACAAGATTTAGGCGATAAACCTAAACTTTAAAGAACTTTTTTCGGTGACT